TTTAAATATATATATATATTCTTTTGATTCGCAGCACTTTATATTTTTTCAAACTAAAGTTTATTCAATTTTTTCCCTCAATTTCAAATTAGATTTAAGTTTTCATAGCTATGTATTTGTAATACCTTGATATTTATGTATTACACATATGTAAATATGTATGTATTTTTATTAGATATAAAAGCTTCTATTTTAGATAGGATTACAGTATGAATCAGATAATTTAAGGCAACTTAAGGGTCGAAAATAACTTTAAAATCTTTTACTTTTGTACATAAATAATTAAATATATTTACATATACTATAAAGTGAAGCTGATAATTGATTTCTAGCATATTTTAATTTAGTTCTAAACGTATTGAGAATTATTTGTGGCAATTTCATAGAATATTTCGCCTATCGCACACTTAATTTTTTTCGATCAGAGACCTTAATTTCATTTTCGTTTTCTTTTCATTTTCTATTCTTTCGTCATTCTCTCGCATACTCCAACTGCACAATTATGAAACAATGTGTATTCATTGTGTTTTCACACAACTCACACACACGCAAAACTTTTCGGTTATAATACTATTCATTTCTATGCCAAAATCTGTGTAAATTGGAACTCTAACTTAACACAAAACAACTCAAAAAAAAACTTTGTACTATTTTTTTCAAAAAAAAAAAAAAAATAAAATCATATAAATATATATACACACATATATATTTACGTCCAAAACTTAATGACCAAAAACTAAAAATAAAAAGTAAACCACCCGATTTGGAACTTGAGGGTTTGTTCAAACGTCATTTTACCACCGTGGAGTTCTTCCAAGGAACCATTATGAATCCGATTGATCTGCAAAGGGTTAAGGTAAAACAATTTTTTATTTTATATGTTTCTCTATGTTCGTTGGTTAATTTACTTAACTTTTTCATTTTCTTGCTGTTTCTGTTGTTCATTTTAATTGTGCGTGTTGCCAAACCAAGCCAAACCAAGCCAAACTAAACCAACCTAAACCAAACCAAACAAAACAATACCAAACAAAACCAAACCAAGACAATTACCTTCGTATTAACATACTTAACATATTTACATACTTACCATACTTACGACTTATCAAACACGTGTACTAAACAAATTACACGCATTTGTATATGCATTTGTATTTGTATATATATATATTCACTCTATGAGCTGCCCAATTAGCCGGTGGAGACTCATGTGAGTCTCTCACAGATGCATAAATT